GAGTAGCTGGGATTACAGGCACGCACCACCATGCCCAGCTAATTTTTTGTATTTTTAGTAGAGACGGGGTTTCACCATGTTGACCAGGATGGTCTCGATCTCTTGAGCTTGTGATCCACCCGCCTCGGCCTCCCACAGTGCTGGGATTACAGGCTTGAGCCACCGCGCCCGGCCCTTGTTTGTTCTTTTCAACAAAAGCTCTATCATCTCTAGGATGCATCTACTCAAGATGGCTCTTAGCAGTATCAGTCTTAAGCTTGAAATCTCATGAAGGCCAGGCGCAGTGGCTCACTGTAATCCCAGCTCTTTGGGAGGCCGAGGTGGGCGGATCACTTGAGGTCAGGAGCTTGAGACCAGCCTGGCCAATATAGTGAAACCGTGTCTCTATTTAAAATGCAGAAATTAGCCAGGCATGGTGGCAAATGCCTGTAATCCAAGCTACAGGGGAGGCTGAGGCAGGAGAATTGCTTGAACCCTGGAGAAGGAGGTTGTGGTGAGCCAAGATTGTGCCATTGCACTCCAGCCTGTGCAACAGACAGAGCGAGATTCCATCTCAAAAAAAAAAAGAATCACTTACGAATAGGCACAAAGCTAATCCTGTTTGCAGCAATAGACAAACTAATAAATCAACCCAACCCCTTTAAAAAAAAAAAGGCAGGTCACTGACACTTCAATGGCAAAAGCGTAATTGGTGAGAATTTCTCAAAGGACAGTTTGGCTATGTCTGATAAATTTTAAAGATGCAATGGCACAAGTCTGAAGTCCTCAGCTGCTCAGGAGGCTGAAGCAGGAGGATTGCTTAACACTAGGCATTCAAACCCATAGGGTACTCTTAATTGTGCCTGTGAATAGCCACTGTACTCTGTCCTGGGCGACATCATGAGACCTTGTCTCTTTAAAAAAAAAAAAAAAAAAGGCTGGGTGCAGTAACTCATGCCTATAATCCCAGCATTTCAGGAAGCCAAGGTGGGCAGGTTGCTTGAGCCTGATAGTTTGAGACCAGCCTGGGCAACTTGGCAAAATCTCATTTCTACAGAAAATACAAAACTTACCTGGGCATAGTGGCATGTACCTGCAGGTCCAGATACTTGGGAGGCTGTGGTGGGAGGATTACCTGAGCCCAGGGAGGTTAAGGCTGCAGTGAGTCATGATTGTGCTACTGTGCTCCAGCCTGAACAACAGAGCAAGACCCTGTCTCAGAAAAGAAAAGAAAAAAAGAGGCCGGGCACAGTGGCTAAAGGCCTGTAATCCCAGCACTTTGTGAGGCCAAGGCGGCAGATCACAAGGTCAAGAGATTGGAACCATCCTGGCCAACATGGTGAAACCCCGTCTCTACTAAAAGTACAAAAAATTAGCTGGAGGCCGGGCGCGGTGGCTCACGCTTGTAATCCCAGCACTTTGGGAGGCCGAGGCGGGTGGATCACGAGGTCAAGAGATCGAGACCATCCTGGTCAACATGGTGAAACCCCGTCTCTACTAAAAATACAAAAAA